TCAGCACAATCTTTATGCGCCCACATAGCGCACATTAGGCATTGCACCCACACCTCCCCATGACTATCATCTGCAAATAGACAAGCAGCCCTCTCCTTGTAGATGACAGTTTAACACGTTACTTTTGCTTTCCAGACACCAAACTGATAAGGCTATCAGCATCTGCATTAATTAGTCAGTAAAACTGGTGGCCATAAATAATTTAAAGCGCCGAAAAAAATTAAAAACTGGCGAAATGGGTAGCGATATTTTTTAATTTTTCAGAGCGATCCCTGCGTGCTGGATACCCGCATTAAGTCCTAAAAATTAACGTTCGAAGCATCGACTCTCGTACTATATCGGAGCTTTAGTTCGATAATCGAAGCTTCTTTACACTACAAGGTTCGATGGGAGGAAGCCAAAAGAGTAAAAGAAAAACTAAAAATGCTATTAAAAACTGATATAAATCCCGTCGTATTCCTTACGGTAAAATTACAGTAAAATTTAAAAATATGACGTTATATAGGAGAGGCCGTTATCAAATTTCAATAGATAACGTATAATTAGTCGTCCTGGCCGAAGGACGGAGTTCATTATTTATAAATTTTTCATTTTCTTCAGAAGATTATTGTGGCGAAAGGAATAAGAAGCGACTAAATGCATTTGACATTTTAATTCGGACAGCCTACAAAACTGCGTTTCGAAAAGAGTTAAAATGGAATAAAAATAAAGACGATGTTCGTAATTTCTACCTGTCAAATGAATAAAAAGCATGTCGATAATATATTCCATTTATTTTGAAAAAGAAGCAAAAGTCAAACGAGTCATCTTCGGAGAAGATTTTCGTCGTGGTTAGCAAATATAAATACGAGAATAACGGCTGTTTAATTGCAATTAAGAAACATTGTAAGTAAAGCGTAATCGAGAGGAATTAAATATTAATTAAATTCTCTAACAAACGAAAGTGAAATTGTCGGAAACTCAATTCCTTGTAAAAATTTCGACACCGTAATTACGACAATTTTTCCCGTTTTCGGAACTAAACACGAGACGATAATGTCGATTAATCGGAGGGAAAAACATTTCATAATACTGTATTAACTTAATTACTCAATTTTCTCTTCAAACTTTACATTTTATTTATTTAAAACAACAAATAANAGTCAAACGAACTATTTTCAACGTTTCTGGAACGTTTACAATCGTTCTATAATCGAACCAATATTCGAATTTTATGTTCGAATTTAATTCGAACAAATTCGAACAAAACATTCGAAATAGAAAGCCACTTTCAACCACTTTCAGCCTCATATCTCCCGCACCCTTATAGCTATCGAGACGCAACCACCCCTATGCACGAATGGAGAATCGGGGCTACCACTACATACAAACACCATTCACGTGCGATGTGTAGTTTTGGCGGAAAAGTGAAATATAGGGACATACACGTCCATTTATATATATATATATATATATATATAGATTTATTTAATTATTTATTATTGGAAGGGCTCGAAATTAACCGACGTTTAGTATCCAGCCAGCCTAATTTTCACGCGCCGGTTCTCTTAATATTTCTACGAGAGAAATCGTAGAAATTATTTAAATCGATACAAATTGTACACCGTAATTATTGTTCGGCGGTTTATTTTGAATCTAATACTTTTGAAGCGGAAGACGTACCCACTCGTTACGCAGCATAATTAGTAGGAGTGTACGAAATTTTCTGGAAGTTATTTCAAAAATATTACATTTGGTTCGTTGTACAGTGGAGAAATATTTACAAAGGATTACGTAACGTATAGCTTATAAACGAGGTATGTAGAAGCAATAGCGGATACAGAAATCTTTACTCGGGGGCAGAAAGGAAACGATATACCTCTCCGAAGTATCCGACTCGGGGTAAAATCCCCGAACGAGTGCAGCTACGAACCCCTAAATCCTCCACAGCATAGAAATCTATTTTCTCTTTAACTATTCTATGTACGAAAAAAGCTTAACGAAATTTCAGAGAAAATGATTTCGAACCAAAATATTATCCAACGGTCCAATCATTCAATTTAATTAGAACAATATTTGTAATTAATCGACAATTAGTACTTTAATAAAATGCACAGGTAATTCAAATATTATAACGCGAGTGATATTTTTGCATCGGTAGTTTTATCATTTTTATATTTTGCAAGAATGTTATTTATATAATTTTAAATAGCGCAATTTAAGAGGAAATTATTACTCGCCGATTAATCTATAATAATAAATGGTTCATAATTCGAATGCATTAACTTTCCGTTAATACGGCTAAATTAACTTCTAAAATACAACTTTTCTCACCGCATTAACGAGATAATTTAAGCGATAATCGTATAGAAATTTTTAAATATTTGTCGACTCAAACCGTGTTTTTTCGCTCGAATTTGACCGATAACACTAAGATATATTGAAGAAATTTTCCAAGATATATTTTCGTTTCAAATTTCCCAAAAAATACGAAATCGAACCGGCACCAATCCGAGTGATAAATGCCAATATATATATATATATATTTATCATCGAAGCCGGTATATATACATTTCCTTACACTCGATAACTCGTATATTTATAACGTCGGGATCATTTAATCCGTAATAGAAAAAATTACGTGGTTTGAAAGCTTCGGTATTATATAAATTTTAAATTTCAATAACTTATATCGATTACTTTTTTAAATAAAAGGCATCGCAATTAAAATTTAATTGCGATATAAAAAACGTAGTGTAATTAAAATGTAAAATAATCGGCAAACTTTCCGGTTTTATGTAACGAAGATTTAGTTAATTACCATTACAGAAAATAATAAAGATTTAAAATTAAAGAAAAACATTACGTTACGTAATAAATATATTATAAATTCAAATGTAATCTTACTCACGAGGTGTATTCGATTATAATTCTTAAGAGAAGCGGTCTTTTCGTAATAGAAATAATAAAACGGGAACACTAAATAAATATTAATAAATGGATTAAATAAATTATCCTTGGAAAATATAATTAATAATACCCAATGATTTTTTAAATTTAATGAAAAAAATCAATTGAAAAACTCTCGAAATGCTAATTGATTTTAATTGAATAAAATTAAAATTATAATTTCAAATTCTAAATTTAAACAATTTATTTAGAAAAAATTATAATATTTTAAGCTTTTTTTTCCATTATAATCTTTTCTTTTGGCTAATTTTAACTAGGCCTATTTTTAAGCCTAAAGTTGGGCGTATCCTATCGAATAAGACTAAAATTAGGCCTAAATTAGACTTAAAAATATTTTTTTTAATTAAGCCTAAAATTAGGCCTAAACTTAATCCCGTAAATCTAACAAATTTAACATAAATTTGAATAAAATTTAATAAAATAATCAATATTTTGTATACTTTTAGAGCATTTTTAACTTCAAATCTTCTATTTTTAGACATTTATTTCTTAAGATCTAACTCCTAAAAAATTTCAAATCGTTAAAAAATTGAAAAATTATTTTATTTTCTTTTTTATATTTAAATCATCGAAAAAATATCAATTTCAATGAAAATATTTTATTTTTATTTTTGCTTTAAATTCGTTTTTAATAAAAATTTTACTTAAAAAAAATATGCTATTTTTATTTTTCTGACGTCACGTCCATCAATATCTGCCTCTTAAACAGCACCATCTAGCGGATATTAAACGCGAAGCGTCGTAATTATATTCATCACGAAATAATTTTTTTATTTAATTCTGACGTAAAATATGACGTAGATAACGATAATGTCCCCCTGGCGTCTTTATTTCTTGTATTTAATATTCCGATATTACCGACTTTTTGTAATCTTTCTTTTTCTTTTTTTTTTCCTGTAAAGAAAATCAATTTGAATTCTAATGGAAATGTATAATGTCATTAAATATACCATTTATTCCTCATTAGAGCAAATTTGCTTCTTCATTGAATCTTGTTTACAAAATTAATGGCTTTTAAAATTGCTTTAAGATCTTTACGAATTAATATTTCTAAAAAAGGAAAGAAAAGAGCGAAAAAATTGATATAAAATTCGTACTTTTTTGTAATTTCCTCCAGGAAATACGTTATAAAAGGGGTGTAAGGGCGCGAAGGCGGCTTCGGTGAAGTGTCTCGCAGCGTATGGAGTCACTACAAATGTATAAAATCGTTTTATTTTCTCGTTTTAACTTATATATCAATTTAATTTTCTATATTGATTATTCGGGATTTGCATCTTTCTCTCCGACGTTGTCACGACAACGTATAATCCGCAAACAGTAACGGAAACAGTGACGTCAGAGAGTCGTATTTCCTCGGGCGATTGTAAAGTTTCGAGGGGGAAAAAAAAATTTTATTTTGAAACGATGGCATATTTATTAATTTCTAAAATATATTTGAAGTAAAGATCCGTGTTTATAAAACATTGCCATTTATTTTCGTCTCCAATCTGGGAAGAAGTTATAAGATCTTAAAGCACTCGTTCCTTATTACTCTACGAGAGGACAAAAGATATAATCTAATAGTTATCTCTTCAAAGCTCCACTTCTAAAAATGAGAAGGAACAGAGGAGGAGTTTCCATGGTAACTGAGAGCACGAGGACAATTTGGAGTTATGAAAGTTGAAATCGAAGTACACAAGATCGTATAGATCCAATATCGGTGTCATTACTCTAACCAAATTGGCAATTTGTAAGCATTTGTATGTCAAAATAATAAAATTTCCAATATATTTTAACAGTTATAACCATTAACGTTATATAATTCCACGTTTTTAACGGAAAGAAAACGATTTTACACTCCTAAAAAAACGTTTATTTTTAACGTTTGTTATCGTTGAAAGAAGTCATAAAAGTGGTTGGACTTTAGTATATCTTCTAAAAATATGTTTTTCCCCCTTATATTAAACGTTATAAAGGTGACTTATTCATAAATAAATGTATTTATTTATTATATATCAACAAATTTCCATAAATTTTAACGAACATTTCTATACAGAATATACATCTTTTTTTTTCTATACAATACCTCGTTAGATCTTATATAATAAAAAGACGAGACGAAGGATAACAATTTCTAATATGATATTCGATAAACTCTGGATCACAAAAGCAACAATTTATCTAATATATATAGTCAAACTCGACATAGCGCCAACGTACTTGTAAATGAATCTTCTTCGCACCCTTTCACGATTACTAAACGCATTGCGATTGACTTAAGCTCGTTTGTGGGCATAATTACCGTACACTAGACACTCCATATAGTGAATTCTCAACACCTATCGAGTTAAATCATTCGCTGCATCGAGTATCGAGAATCCACCGTATAATTCTCGTTGTTACGAGATTCCTCGGTTTAGCGCCGCGCCACACTGGGAAGAGAACAAACGACGACGTTAAATCGAGGTTTGACTGTATTTATATATAATATATATTATGTTGCCTATACTTCTCTATTAATTAATGACTATAAAATATACATAGAATCTTTACACAATTATTTCTTTCATACCACTAAAAAAACAATGGAAAATATTTTTTTGATTTCGGATTTTTTTTTCGATGTTATTTAAAATAATTTTTTTTCGGTTACTTTTCGTTTTATGAATGATCACAAGATAGATGTTCGCTGTTGTATTTTCTGTTGATGATGTAGACGAAATTCTAATATAGAATAGGGCAAAATGGCGACGAATAAGGCTGCTGCTAATATATATATTTTGACTTCGGTACATAAATAAAAGGCAAAAGTATAGGCCATAGTTAGACCTAGACCCTGATACATAAAGTAAGCGATGTATGGTATTTGCCAATCGACGGTGTAGCTGATTATGACGTAAGCTGAAAATAAAATTTTCTTTTATAAAATTAACGTCTACTTAAGATGTATTATTGTATATTAATTTACTTACTTAAAGATAACGTCTCCCATATGGAATGGCAAAGACCCCAACCCGCAGCTATGACGTAGAAGACTGCCACGTCATCGATCATCGGTCTCCATAACCATAATACCATTAATAATCCGACGTGGAATGTTAAACCCGCAGCCATAATTAAAGGTCTCTTGATGTGTTTAGTGAAGTGGTGGACTAATAAGGCCCCCAATGTATTCATGGCTCCCATACACATCATCGTATAACCGATAGCTTCTAGGCCCAGAGTGCAGCTGACGTAGGACTAGAAGGGAAAAATAAATTAAAATTAAGATTAATTTACACTTCTAGATTAATTATAATTAAGATAAATAGGCATTTTAGCTGTTAAACCTTTCCAATAAACAAGAGTTTGCATCCCATAACTTATACAGAGTGGCTCCCGTATAGGCTTACTTGTATTATTTTCCACCTTTAATACGCTTAATTAACTATTTTTTAATGCAAATTAATAAGCGTTATTTTTGTGTTTAAGTATTTTTTATATTTAACGATTAATTTAGTAATTGTACAACACTCCAGGCACGTGGGAATGATTCGTGATGCGACAAAGGAGTGGAATAATAGGAATTTGGAGTGAAAGTACTGTATACATCGTTATTGACAAGAGAAAATCGATATTTTCGGTTTGTAGTTAGCAAACTAGAATAATCGTTGCCAGTGCGGGACAATTGCGAGCACCGATACACTTACAGCTATTGACAAATGTCATCTCTACACGGTGACATTAACAGCTGTCTCAACAAAAGACTATCGAAGTGGAGATTGATTCGAGAACAAAAACCCAATGCACAATTGAAGCTAAATCGTGGATGTAACTAAAATATTAAATTAAAAAAAAATTGGCGAATAATCAAAGTGTCAACACGCACAAAGCTGAGAAATTATTAAAAGAACCTCTTTTTTAGAAGCTTTCCGCCCTGTGGGCGTTAAGAGGACCTTTTAATCATACCCATCGTTGATTCTGTCCAAGAAAGGAACACAGGGAAATGGCCCCTTTACCAGACCCGCATTGCCAGATGGGGCCCGACGTATTGCGGGAATCATTCCGTACAGGGATGAGGATGAAAAGGGATGAAAGAAGGAATTCCTCCAGAAAGGGATGAAAGGAACAAATTGCCCCAGGCCCCGAGGAAGCAGGATCCCTAAGTGATTATTTTATCTACATTTTTCGATATAATACTTTAATTTGTTATATAGCCTCCAATATGTATTTTGCCCCAGGCCCTACCCACAAGAATTCCCGAGAGTTTCTCAGAGCAGTAGAACGCCCGAAAGAACCACTCAAAAATCTTTAAAATTCTTAAAAAATAGACGTTGTATAAGCGGATTGTTAAGAATTATAACTCGCTTAGAGAAATTCTGATAGAAACTAAACAATTTTCTTTATTTGTATTCGATGAAATATGGTATTATTCATAAATATTTCACATTATTGCTCGATGAATTTAAATAATGATTTATGAAGGAGTCTTTTCGAATGCTGAGCGAATAAACCTACGGAAAATACCTTCAATCGACTGGCATTCATCCAGAAATGTCAACGTTGGAATGTCACGAATGTCTTCTTATTGTCAGATTTCTGGCAACTTCTTCTACAAAAGGGTGATGTCTCGAATATCAAATGCACTTTTTTCTCACAGAAAACTCAATTAATTAACCGCTATTCATTTAAATTAAACATTGTAATTAGCTATTTTAGTTAGTTCTTTAATTTAAACTGAAAACTTTTAAAGTTTAAGAAGAAAAATAAAGAAATTCTCTAAGAAACTCGCCATTACTTAACTGGAAGAAGGAATATATTTTTATTTTTTATTTTTTAACTGTATTTTTCCTTTCTTGAAATATTCATTACACAAATATCGATCGCAAAATTTAGTTTTAATTCAATTTTGCTTTATTTTTTTCTGTAAGCAAATTATTTTCCGATGATGGAAATATGTTACAGCGCAGAGATAAATTTGATGTTTGCCACGCGAAAAAAATAAATTCGTGCCATTTGTTTCAATTTAAGTTTTGATATTAATAATTTATGGATTTAAAAAAATAAAAAGTATATTTTTATGTAAAAATAAGTCGCAATATTGAAATACTATGTAAAATTTAACTTATGTTTTCGTTTTAAATGTAATGCCATCAACTCTCTCTTACGTCAGCCCGATTACATTACATTAAAATCTCAAAAATGTTAAGTCCTGTCAGAGGAGTTGTTTCGAGGAGGCCTCGCATATATAAGGCCTCATAACTTTGATAACCCGGTAAGAAATTTACATTTGTAGGACCTCTGGGAGTATTATTTGCGAATCTCTACGAAAGTTTCGCATTTATGGGGCCTCGAAAGTATACAAATGATTCATTTCGTCGCATTTCTTGCGTATTAAGAGAAGGAGAAAAACTATTTTAAACAATTTAACTCAACTTTTTAACGCTTTGTTTTCTAACGTACTAAAGATAAGTAGCCCGGGCCTCTCCTCCAGCGAGAGGCCCTAAATATTTTAAATACTATCTTAAACATAAATTTATAGTTATGTTTTTGTTATGGCTGATTTTTTCCCGTTTATTTGCTAAATTTTTTTTCTTATATATTTTTAAATTTATAAAGCAGGAGATCGAAAAGCAACGTTCAATATTTTATCAAAAGATATTTGCATGAATATTTTTGCTTATTCTGTAACGAAAAATATCCTAAATCGCTTCGGGCAAGCGGAAGAAACTTTTGAACTATTCGAGTATTACTTTTATTTTAATAAATAAATAAAAAATGGCAGAAGAACTGAAAAAGTAATGTTTCCATATATTTTATACAAAGAAAATGCAACGATTTAAAGTTAAATTTTCATATTTTTCGGCAAAAGATGCCGTTTATATTCGTAATAGATCAAATCGTATCCGGGGCTGGACTGAAATTTGTTGCGGTCCCTAAAGTATAACGTATGACAATCTTTTTACCTTGGCCAAATAATAATACATACGAACGTACGAGGTCCCAAATTTTAACGTATAACAGGTTTCTCCTCTCCACTAAATAATAAGTGTAAACGTGCGAGGCCCTTATATGCATATCCATATATCTCTGTCAATAATGGTCATATCAAATTTCATCGAGATATGTCGAGTATGCGATGATAGACAGACTGATGGATTGGTTCCAGTTAACAGCTATATCGATAAAAGCTATTTACTCGTCTAAATCCCGATAAAAAATAAGATTAAAACGTGAAAATTTGATAAAAATGCGTGTTTAAAATAATTAATTAGTAGAATTGCTCTATGTTAGCTGTAATTCAGAAAAACATTTCTATTTCATTATGAAATTTAAATTTATATCGGCTTGTATTGTATAAGTATAAATAAAAATGTTTTATATATGAAATTTATTGTAGAGTATGGATAGAAGCAGTCTTATAACTATACGAAAAATTTTCGCATTAAAATCATAAAATATGTCTGCACTGTCTTAAGTGTTTATCTTTACGACTCTACAAATCTGTTTGAAATTTTCCTATTAAAGTCATATATAACATTCTTTGCAGCGACTTTTCCACAGATTGAGAACTGGCAGCCATCGGGTTGATACGATCTTTCCTGGCTTCTAGGGAAATCTAGAGTTTCTATTCTTTTTCCAATAAAGACATACAGCCTACCGTATTGTATAGATAACCGGCGACATATTTTATGGGACTCGGTTAAAAATATAAATACGGGGCCTTTTCAACACGTTGAGGCCGAGCGTTAAGTTCGAGTGCGAGATCATATGCAAATTTACTGGTTGCACACTCATTACGTCAGCAGCTCTATATTATTTAAATACGTATTTTAGTGTACGTAAACCGAATATAATCGTCTGAAACACGTAACACGATAGGCAACCCAATGAAATCTCACTAAAATGAAACGTGTCTCACGTATTAAAAGAACATTCTCCATTTTTGATCTTTACAATGAACGACGACATCTCTATCTAGCAATCAATAACAGATTTTCTCGACAAATTAAGTACGTTTTCCAACACAGATAACCAGTGCCGGATTTCCCACTAGGCACGCGAGGCATACGTCAAGGGGGCCCGGTTTCGGGGACCCAAAACTGGGAAAAAACCATAAACCAATAAATAATTCTATAGATACATTTACACGTTTTATAATGCAAAATTATGTACAGGGCCCCATTCTTCCACGCCTAGGGTCCCGGAAGGACTTAATACATTACTATGGAAAATTTATGGGTTTTAGCGTTATATAAATTACTATTATTTAAGAAAAAAAACAATTGTTTGTACAAAAGAATAGCAAACAAAGTAAAATTACAGAACTGGAAATAGTTTTTGATTAGAAAACTATTAGGTACAATCGATACAGAAACAAAACCTAAATATTTTTCCATTTTTGGACTCGGGGGTCCTCGAAACGTCGAGATATTCAAAAAATGGTGGGTTTCTGTATGTATGGATGTTAGTGTGTATGAGGAGACACAATTTTGTTCACCCAATTTGAAACTTAATAATTCCCGTGCTTCTGGTCGAAAATTCCTAAAATTTTACACCAAAGTTTGTGTATTAGGGGTGAATATTTCTAGAAAATTTCAAGAAGATTGGACTATTGGTTTGGGAGATATGGCCTCCTTAATATCTTCCGAACCAACCTGAAGACTCATAAAGGTTATGGTAGCAATTATTAGGGATGAAAACAAATAAAGAATGCCTGGAAAGTCCAGCAACAACGTTACCAGAATTTTTGAATACGTTATTGATTGGTGAATACAATAATATTAAAAAAACCATTTCGTTGGCGACAAAAAATGCCTATTCGAAACACATTTACAACGTAATTTTATTTTTAAATATCGAAAATATATTCTAAAAGATTTTATTATAAATTCTTCTCCTAAGAAAAAGAAGGGAAAAAAATATATAAAATAAAATTGCGAATCGACATATTTAAGAGAGCAAAAGTATGAATAACAAATGATGTAAAAGTCATCCAGTCGTGTGTAATTTACACGAGTCCATGTAACGATTTATTTTTAGAGTTGAATATAAATCGTAAGGTTAAAAAACTTTAAAAAGATAAATATTTAAATGAATTTATTCACTTAAAAAAAGTTAAAAGTGAAACTGAAAAATAAAAGTAGGACAAGGTCTTTTATATACAATATTTTACGACATATTACTCCATAGTAACATTAATAACAAACATGGCAAAGGGTGTAGTTACTTTATTTTTTTTTAATTTATTATTATTTAATTTTTTTTGTTTTGCGAGCCCTAAAAACCTTTTTCTATACCCATAACAAATTCGGAGGACCACAATAAGAAGTGCCTTTCTCTATGACCATAACTTAGTAAATTTGGACGGGCTTATTAGTGTTTTCTGGATTAGGGCATTCGCTAGGCCCACAATGGGAGTGAAGCTCGATGGCTTTCTATGCTCGTAAGTTCGGTCATGCCTACAATGTAAATTGAAGACCTTTTCCAGGTCCACAAAGAAGGATGAGGGAAAACCTGGAGGGCTTTCCTTTATGTCCGTAATACGAGTTATCGAAGTGAGAGCATTCGCCAGGCCCTCAATGAGATGGGAGGAAGAAGCTCGAAGACATTTTTCCACGCTCGTAGGGGTTCGATCGGGTCTCAATGGGTATTTCCGGATGACGAAGAAGGAAAACACAATATCCGGATCAAACCAAGCGTGAAAATCTATGATGTTCCAAACTAAGAAGTCTTTATTTCTTCGATTATCCGGCCCGTATTTAAAATCATTAATAAAAATTTCGGAATTATCGGGATTAATGATTATTCATTCGTTTAATTTTCGAGCAGATTTAATTAATTAGTGAATTAAAATGAAAGAAAACGATCCTTTCTCTCCAACGTAATTTTTCATTTGACAACTTCAGTGATTAACCGGGTTGATGTATTGGAATAAAATTAATGAAAATTCATCACTTTAACGCGAAAATAACTTAGTTTAAATAATTAACCAGATAAATCTACATTAAATACAAACATAGGTTTTAAATATCTTCTCTTAATGACTTTTGTTTAATTTCCAATTAAATTATGTTTATAATGGAAAATTTCAATTTATAATTTAATTTTCCTGCTTAATGAATTCTACATTAAAAAATAAGTAATTTTCTTCCAAATTGAAAATTTCCTACGTTTTATAAATATTTCAATATTTTCCATTTAATTCATTCGTTTATCCGCTTAGATATTTATTAATACTTTATCTACTGTTTAATAATTCATAATGTTTCCAATTATTTAAATAATTAACTTAAACGGCGAATTTTCTATTTTAATTAATATATGAATATTACAGTTTATTTACACTCAAACTTCGATATAGCGCGGCGTCACCCTGGTGAAGCGCCAACGAGTTCTCGTCAATGGATCGTCCTCATATATATTAAATCGGGCCCATTGTGGGCCTACAAGACCCACGATAATTGGTTTAATGGGATACGGCAACGTTTTACCAAGGAAGCACCACCCGTGAAGACTTTCTACGCTAAGCCCGAGGGTTTTGTCAGGGCCTCGTAAAAAGTTATTAATGAGGCCATAAAATATTAATTAATTAACTAAAAAGAATGTTCTCTTTAGGTACGCGAAGAAAAGCGGAAAACACGCGATGTACAATACGAACCCGCGAGTAACCAGTGTTCGGTGATTTTATCTACTCGGCCACATATTGGGAATGGAAAAAAGAGGTTCTTTTAGTCCCCGCGGGGTGTTTATAAATAAATGAACGTAAAATATTATAATTAACTTACTCTATAGAAATTACACGTAAAATATTATTGCGCGAATAACTATTACCTTAAACGCAAGTCTATAGAACTTACTAAACAATCGAGTGTTGTGTTTGTATAAGATAAAGAGTAGAAAATATATCTTCGGGACACGAAGCAAATCATCACACATCGATAGCTAAAGGAGAAACAACAGAACTGATTGGAAAGACGAAGAAAATAAGAAAAAAATTAGCGAATACATCACACAACTTCAACTCTAGAACACTCGATCCATTGTATCGATGTAAAAAAACGATACAGAAAAATCTCTAAAGATGGATTGTGTAATTTTCAAGAGCTTACTCAAAGCCGTGGAAAAAAGAAAGAAAGGAAAAAAAACAATAAGAATAACGAAAAAACTAATAATTCATGCGTGATATCAAAGTTTAAACGTCACGCGAGCAACCATTACTAGTGATTAATTCTTTAAAAATACCGATTACGAGATAAACTTATGGTCATGTAAATAATTAAAATATCAATATTTAAGATAATGATCCGAAAGAAAATAAATCATCCAGTGAAATGCCAGGAAATCATTTATTAAAAGTCTTTTATAGTCTAAATCAAATGTACGGTACAGTACAACGGTGCTTTTAAACGTAAACAATCCAGGCTTTTGTTGGGGGCCTCTCGAGCCAATTAGGGCTTCGTACAAGACCAAATAAAGAGTCAGTTAACCGAGAAATAACAGAGCTGTTTTCGGTAGATTTTAACAGGATCAATAATCCGGTTAATCGACTTTTGGGTCACCCTGTATATACCACTCGTTCTTTTACAGTATCGAGTATCCTACTTAGAAGTTTGAGGCTCTGGTCTTTATCGGGGCCCTCGAAACAACTTAATTTTGAGAAAAAGTAATAAAAAAAAACACGAATTGTAATATTAAAAATTACAATGATAAATATTCCAGATCAAGCGGGGTCAGAATTGGTCGAAGTGCGGGAAGAAATTGTGATCCTCTCATTAATTTAAGATTAAAATATTTTTTGATTGGGGCATCTTTAAAGGGGCCTCCGTAAAGCTTCCGAGAAGCGCAAGTACGGTTCTGTATAAGTGCTTTATATTGTGTAAATTTATATAACGGGGGGCCTACACTAGTCTAGGGCCTCTCACGATCGAAAATCTTTGTTGTTCGAGAGGAAATTACGATTCTTAACAACAATATTATATAAGGAAAATAGAAATAAACCTTAGGTAGGCGGCTTTCGTAAATAAATACTTTGTAGATTCGAATAATAAATATTTACATTAGTCAGTAATTTAATTGATAAACATTGAAAGTATAAATTGAATTCTCGACTCGACTCTTTAAAGAAATCGCAAATATAAATTTTATTATATCAATAAAAATAAATAAATAAATAACTTGTTTACAGAAATATTTAATTTAATTTTAAATAAAAATAAAAATTTAATCAATATCATTACGGAAATCGAACCGGTACCTTACGGATTATTTACAGGAGAATTAATGCGTTAAAAGTAGCGATTTTTATCCAATTAATTTGGTTTAAAAACATTAATTAACCATAAAAATTTAAAGGGAACGACTCAAATTTAAATTTAATTAATTTATTTAATAGAAATTATTCGAGTTTTTATAAATTACAGGCTTTACAAGTGATTTTAGATGAATATAATTAGTTTTTTTCTCCGCTTCTCTTTGCTAATTGCTATCAGATCTTTATTCTTTTTTAAGTTAATAAATTTAAAAATATATATACGTATTCTATTAAATAAATAATCTACAAATATAATTATAAATAACAATAAAAAAATAATATTTTTGTTATTTTTCTCATGTATAATTTGTTACTTCTTAAGATTTTTAAACAGTAATGACAGTAATAATAGAAGGAAATGAATCTAAAAATTCAATTACTGGATGTCTGTCGTTGCCACTTAAACTCCTATTCAGCAAGAAATCCAATTACTTGTCACCAGACATTCTTGAACTTGCAGTTACCTGTCTTCTAATGCAACACCTGGTGACAAGTATTCTTCCGAACAAAGAAAGAATGAAAAAAGACTTTACCTAGAAGTTTTCTGACAATCAAACTTCGATATAGCGCCACCCTCGACGAATATTCGTGAATGGATAAGGATTTTGCATTGCATTGCATTCTATAAATTACCTAACGCTATTTTTTGGACTTTTAAACTACTGTATCGCTACGTAACGTTGTCGCGCATAACCCAAATGACCACTCGATATAGCGAATGTTCGATATAACGAACAATCTTATTGGTCGTTGCTTATTTTAATACAGTGTATGGTTTGACTCAGCCTTTAAAGTTCTTTACATCGAGGAGTTCGCTATAATTCTTGTTGTTTGAAGTGCGATTTTGCGCCGATTTTAGGGACGAACAAATGCTGATGTTAAATCGAAGTTTGACTGCATTTATGAATATTTTTAGAGTGATTTAAGTAGTTATTTTGAATTATATAATTTGCTTACAAGCAAACAATTATTTCAAATTTACATATCGTCATCGTGAGGCTTTAGGCCTTAAAAAGGGGTTCGAACTGGACAGAACATCGAACCGAGCAGTGGTATGGCTTTAGAGTTGGGCCCCTTGATAAAGATTTGAAGTAATGGTTTAATATTAACGTACGTTTTCAAAATGTTTTATTGTAGAAAAATAACAGAAATGTAAACATTACATTAACAGACAAACCTCGATATAGCGCCGTCCTAGTAAGGCGCCAACGAATACTTAGCGAATCTTCCTCCTAACCATTCAAGAACACGCAAATAACTAAATGATCTCATTACTTACATGAATAATTCTTATTGTTTGAGGTATTTCGTTTTAGAGCCACACTCGATTTAGTACCAATTCCAGAGGCGTACAAACGGCAGCGCTAAATCAAAGTTTGACTGGCTAGAAATTCGCTTGCCAAACGGAGGCAATCGCTATTCTTATTGTTTCAGGTGTAACGACCGGAAGTAATCACGCTGACCCCTAAACAACGAGTGGAGCTTGCTTTCATCCAAAACACTGGTTGTTTTCTTAAATTTCTTTAAGATATTGCCAACAGCTTGATGTAAAGCCTCCCGAAGGTCTGGGTGTGACGGTGGAATTCCCGTGCAGCTTTCTGCGTTGTTCGGCGATTGCACCCAACAATAAAACCAGTTCCACTCGTTTTTATGTTAACTGACCCATTGATTCAGACTCGAAAACATTTTTACACCTACTTAATGTAAATATATACTTACTTTTGTGAAGTCCGCATACATAAATCCTTGTTCCAGACCTATGAATAGTACCATTGGAATCAGGAGTTGTTGCCTCGGCTCACGACACAGTAACCCGATACTTCTTGCAGATTGAAGATATAAAGGTCTCTCCATAGGATCCTGAGGAATTAAAACATCGAATTTTTCCAACGCCAAGGTTATTCCAACCAATCCGAAGAAGATTACTCCTAAATAGATTCCAATAAGTGCCAAGGATACAGACGGAGGCAATACAAAATAAATGATGCTGCCATTTTTAAACACGTGACCGGAATCACATTGATCTAAGTGGCACAAACCGGGTGTAGATAATACGTCCGCTGCCGAAATTTTGGGATTTGTTAACAAAGCATTGGACAACTTTACTCTCCCCGTAAATATGTAAATATCTCCACTGTAATGGAGTATCAGAGCAGTTATTAAGTTTCCAAAAATGGCTCCTGAATTAGAAAACAAATGGAAAACTCTTAGATATCGTTGTTGTAATTTGTCACGTATATTTTGAGTCAAACAGGTGAGTTTCGAGATTATCTGATTGAGATAAGTTGTTTTGGCACAGCACAGAGGGCCCAAACTCAAACCCAAAATCAATGCCGCTGGCAAAACTGTACAGGGTCGTGGATAAAAGTAAGAAGCTACAAATATACTGAAGCTTAAAAAGCTAGCCGACATGGTCCAGTTTGTGGAGAGTTTATGCACTATGGTGGAACCGTAGAAGCACGAGAGGACCCCAAAACCGTATACCAAACTCAACGCTTTCAAACCCAATCCCGTTTCTGTGAACAGAGAACTCTGAAGTCCCTGCAGGGCATTGAAAGAGCTGTATACTAAGGCAAATGTGATTCCCATTATGACGACGTTCTTCATTAGTATTCTCTCGTTTTCGAGGGATCCACTGGGAGCATCTTGATTTCCATTGGCATTCTTAGAACGTACCGAATGTAATCGAGATTTAGTAGGCGTTTTTGGACCCTGATATGTTACTTCCACCATAATCTGATCGGATTTCTCGACAGTTGAGGGAATCAACAACTGATCGTGCGATCTTCTTCTCGTTTCCGGGGTTGCCATGGTCGGTCTGTTTGCAGATTCGACAAATTGAGGATAAAGAGAATCCATTCAACGATCCGTTTCGATCAGGGAAAAAGAATCTATCTGTGGTCCCTGAAAAGAGAAATTAGTAGCGGGTCAGTGATTAGAAATGCGATACCAACAATTAGTAATAATAGAAGTAAGTTTCAGAAAGTGGGTAGCGAATGTCGTTACACTGTGATCCAATTAGATGGTTACCCTAGCAACATCTTATATCGTGTTTCCTAAGCTACAGGCGCATTTGATCCTACTTTTATTAATATGAAAGGGAATAAATCAGTCTACATTTTAACTAATTTCATAGAGTATTCAAATTCGTCAAGGCTATTCGAATATTCGACATTTTGAGAATCTTTTTCTACGTCTTAGGGTTGAGAGTTGGAGATTTTTCCCTAATTCCGGAGGAAATTTAGGGGCTCGTAGTGGTTTCTACCCCTATAAATAAATGTTACTTTTACTAACAAAAAAACGGGGCCTGCTAAGAAGCAAAGGCTCATTAAAGAGCAAAAAGAGCCCGCTTTATTCGCGGGCCTCACGCCAAGCTTCAGACATTCCTACCCCTCCTTCATTTACAATGTTAATGCCAAGTTAAAAACCCTATTCTGCCTCATAGAAGATTCATTAAGTTTATTTAAAGAATCAAGGAATGGCACACCCAACGTCAACATCTGTACGATTTCACCTTCAGGTTAAATCGCAACTTGTAATAAAAAAAAAAATCATTCTAAAACTTACTAAATATCCAGGAAATATATTTTCAATCGAGTTTCCCAACCTCACTTAATCGATAATATAATTTTGACGTACTAACCGGCTCGCGAACTATCGGTTGGGACACTAAACTAAAAAACTTAAATAACTCACGAAAATTGGCTTATATTATAAAATGTATTATAGAAATATATCGTGAGGTGAATAAATGTATATTTCCTTCAATATTTTTACATAATTTACAATTGGTTTTTTAGATAAATGCAATTTTTTTTTCTTTTTTCCTGGGATAACTGAAAATAGATTCAGCAATAGAATTTTCTTATTGAAGACTAAGGTAAAGCTACTTCCGTAACAAGAATCAAACACAAAAGAGGGATATTTTTTTATGTTATTCAATACATTGTTTTCTTTTTTATTCGCTGTAATACTAAAAAGTTAACATGGCCTATTTTTATTTTTATGTATTTTTATAACATTATTTTCCAAATTATTGATTTTTATCAGCATTTTTTTCTTCGGATCAAATTTAAATTTTCCATTTTTGTAATATTCTTGAACGAAGCTAATTGAAAATTGAATGATAAACGTCTTCATATTTTAAACATTTCTTAAAAGAAAATTGATGTTTTACTGTAATTTTTTCGAAAGAGAAATGAATTTTATGATCAATTTTAATATATTTTTTATATAATTTACTTTATATAATTTAAATTTTCATATATTTTCATTTTATAAAAGTAAAATATAATAAGGTTAAAAGAATTTTCTACAAATATTTATATTTTCTATCATTAAACTGGCTTCCGTGAATGGCTTAACTAGCGTGCTTTGTTCTTAAAAAATACACCATGAAAGCCAAAAAAAGTACACTAAAATTCCAAAAATACACCAAAAACATACCTAAAACCTGTTTAAATCCCAATAAAACGCAATAAAAATATTTTTTTAAATACTTAACTACCAAAATATATATTAAAATCCAAAAATATTCTCATAAAACCCAAAACGTAGACCATAAATTCAAAAAATACTCCATAAAACTCAAAAATATACCTAAAAATCTGAAATACATCGAAAAATACACCAAAAAACCCGAAAATATATTTTAAAAAAGCCAAAAAATACACTGAAAATCCAAAGGCAACAAAAACCAGAGAATACACCAGAAAACCCAAAAATACACCAAAAAAGTCGAGAATACACCATAAAACGCAAAACATAAACTAAAAATTAAAGAAACATACAAAAAAAATCCAAAAAATCTTTAAAATTTCGAGATTTTTATTGGAAAAAGTTGTCTTTAAGCCACTGCTTTGTTGTTTGAATTAATCTCGATCACTTTATCCTACGATCTTCAATACACTTAATGGGAGTCGTAACAAGAAAGAGGAAAGAAAAAATATCGTCTAATCCCATCTTTGATCATTTCTTTATCAAAGAAAAGCCAACAGAAAAGAAAATCGGATTGTACATTAAAAGTATTTTTCGACTTTTTCTCTCTTGTAAAAATTGTCATAACATATTTACTTCTCGATTATCTTTACAGCATTTTCTTTTTATAGAACACGATAAATTCTTTTATTTTCATACCCGAAAACGTCTTTTAAGCTCAATCGCCGCAAAATAACTTTATTTTTATAATTAAAAATTTGTAAAAATATTTCTAAACATTCTGTGCATAAAATTTTTCAATACTCTTTTGTAGTTTATCAAAAAAGACCCCAGAGAAATCTTTTATTTTCACAAAAGTCTCCACAGAGATCCTTCTTTTAGTTTTTACACATTCCTTTAAGGAAATTGATTTTACAAAGAATTCTATCGACCAAGCCGACTTTACATTCGAGGCCCTAAGCTATATTATACCAGGCCCTTTTCCCTCTACCACAACAATAAGACAACAGCTCTATTTCGTGACATAGTCACTATGCAATTTTTAATCATATTTTTAATTTATTTAATTCAAAATATATATGCTCTCCACCTCAAATTAGTATCGTACATCGTACTTTTCCTGCTAGCAACGGAGTCGTGCCGGTCATCTATCTAATTCCTTTTAGGGTGACGTTTTTGAGTTAAAATTCGCGTGACATCCGGTTCAAACCGGAAGTTCGTATATAGTCTATCTGGGGCATCCCGCTCTTACGCTTTCATGTAATTCCATTCTCGAGATTAAGGAAGGACGGATAGTGGGAATTTATAGGTCTTTTTTTAAAATCGCGGCCCAATAAGAAATCGCCACACGTATAAACAAGATTTCATGGACAATATATTTTTTAAAGAGGAAGCGAGTCCCTTCGCTAGAACTCATTTAGTTTATGTGTAAATCCGTTCCTATATATATGGGAATGGATTTACGTATAGAAAGTATTCTGTAGACAAGATCAAGAGATTAGGAAGTCTCTGTCTTTAGAGATTTCCCAAAGATAAAGAATTAAAGAGACTACCGAATTTAGACATTTTGTGGCCCCAAGCTACAACATATAAGCCCTTCTTCTCTACCAAATAACAATACGAAGAGATGAAAATTAAATATTCCGTTTTTAATAGGGCCCACTCCATCGTAGACGTCGCAACCTCGAATTAATGAACCGCGTTTACGTATATATGAGGATGAAGCGATTCCATTTCACAGCACGGGCCTCTTAGGGCCTGGTGTGACGAGTTTGTTTACGTGTAAATCTAGTTCTTTCAATAGAAGCCCTTTTCTGTCGAGAGAATCTAGATTATTTTGTAGAAAGTACCCTGTACAGAGGGAAGGGAGCGTGGAAAAGGGAGTAAGTTCTCGAATGTTTAAATATTTTTAATAATAATAATAATAATAAATATTAGTAACAATTATAGTAATATTTTGAATTTTTATAAATTTGGTAACTTAATATTACGCTATTAACTAAAATAGCAAGTAGAGTAAACTACTTATTGCCAATTACCTACGACATTAAATCAAACCTTACGCTAAACAAACGGATAATTTTATGTAAGTATGGAGATTTATAATGTCGAGAACGTTATAAACAAAATTAATATATAATTATAATAAAATTCGTAATATAATTTGTAGCATTGACGGGAAAATCTGGTAAAATGTCATTGATAAAGTAGAAGCGGGAATGAAATTATCATTACTCTTCCGATGCATCATTACAGAGATGTAATCTCGAGAATATTTTGTATAACATTTATAATTTACATACCTTAAAATATGTTTTAAGAATTTTTTAGAAGATCGTCTCTAAAAAGTATTTGCATGAAATTGAGAGAACGTCATTTTGTAAAGTGTACGTACACGAAAATAGGAACAATAACGTTTACGAAGAGCGCAAATGTAAACGGGAAGAAAATTATTTACCAAGATCATAATACGAAAATTGAAGAACACCGTTTCTAAGAGCACGCGTACGGCACAACACTCGAAAGAAGATTTATAAAAGGCACAAGTCGGACACTTTTGTAACATTATAACGTCCTTCGATTAACTCGAAAAGCAACAGAAAAGAAGAAAAAAGCGACCAGAAAAAAGAAATTAAATTATTTTTTTTAAATATAAGATTTAAAACTTTTCCATTAAAGTAATGATTGCAACCGAGAATACTAAACGGTTCATTATAGTCAGAATAGAGAATCCCCGGAGCTTGGTGAAATTTCTAGAAAATCCGAATAATGTAATCAAAGATAAGAGTTAAGACGATTCAATTGGAAGAAATCTCCCCGCAGAAAATAAAAGAAAAACATCAAAAATTGAATATAAAAAATAAAATCGAAAAACAATTGGAATATCGAACGACACGAGTTTAATTTTTCAAAGTAAAAAACAAAAGAGACGGCGTGGCCGAGTAAAGGATTTAGCTGCGAGCATCGAGAGAGATAAAAATAAAGGGGAGAAGATTGATTCCATCCATCGATTTTTAGCTTTAATTTCCAATATTCGTTTTATTGACGTTAGTGTGATGGATGTTGACAAGAGTACGACAATATTAATCGAAGTTAGTGGAACGTTAAGCAAATTAGGCGAATTTGCATTAGAGATTAGTTAAACAGATATTGGCCTTCGCCTGGACTAAAAAACAAAATCCTTTTATTTTCCTTTTAAATACGTATAAAGGCTCGAAAAACAATTCGGACGTTGCGGCCGATACGAAGCTCGTAAGATAAAAAAAGGCTCGTAATATAAGAAGACCGATACGAGGTAAAAAGGCTAACGGAAGGCTCGTTGGATAAAAATGCCAATGCGAGATAATATAAGCCGAATTGGCTAATCTAATTTAAGGCTTATTAAATACGAGGCTTCTATTTTAGATCTTGCGTTGTTGTTTATATTAAAAAAACAATGCTGGATCTAAAATAAAAAGATAAGACGG